TTGTATAATAATAATATACGAATAATAATACGATGAATCGAGTAGTAATCTGTCACGAGAGACACTTTCATCGTTTAATCGAAACGGGAAAAGATGGGAACGAAGATTATTCGCTCGATCACGTGTTACTCGGTTGTTAAGCGTAGTTTCATCATTGCGTGGTCGCGTGGACATGCTGTGCGTGTCGTATGCTGGTTGTCATGGTTAATCTATAGACGCGTTCTTACTACGATCAAAAATGTTTATCTCATTTATTTATTTGTTTGTTTGTTTGTTTTCGTTAGTACGCATCCTGGGACCTGGCATTCCATTTGGTTGCCTTCTCGAATATTGACATAGACTTTGCGAAGGATCAGTTGCTACTGTTTCTCCGGGAGTGGTACATGCATCCGAACGGACAGGTATCTATTACTGTATACGCTGTATATTTCGCGGTGGTTTAATTTTCGCGAATTTCGCGAACGCGTCCCCTACCGCGAAAAATAATAACGCGCGAAAATAACAACACGCTGTTCTTCATTGATTCGGGAATTCGCCGACCGCGAAATTGTCCGTCGAGTCTGAATTCGCGAAAATATCTGTACGTGAAAAATATGGCATATACAGCATCCCGGCGCTCACACGCCTCACCGAAGACAACCACGGGAAGTGCCATGGTTGCTTTCTTTTAACTCGCAGCGGTTATCGACTGTGAACGGGACGATATGTACAGCAACGAATCCTCGTGGCTGCCCTACCTGGTTTGTTTACCCAGTGAACATAAATAAGCAAAATGAGTGACCGTGCTTGACCGTATTTGAGTGTGGTTAACCGTGCTTGCTTAGAGCTGTGACTGCTTATGCGTGCTTGCGGACTTGTGATTGATTGCCCGTGACTGGGTTACCTGTGAACGATTGATTACCTTTTGCTTGCCTAGCAGGTAATTGGCGCATGCTCTGTGCACAGATCCCCTGCTTCCCTGTGTCAGATTATCTGTGCTTGCTTACCTGTGATTACTTTACCTGTCCCTGTGATCGCCGCAGGTAGTCATCGCATTAATCGCTAATCGTCGCGTTAATCGCTAATCGTCGTGTTAATTGTTAATCGTCGCGTTAATCGCTAATCGTCGCGTTAATCGTTAATCGTCTCGTTAATTGCTAATTGTCGCACGCTCTCCGCGCGCAGATCCCGGCGTATGAGTTTGCGTTCGGGGATGTCAACCCGCCCGTGCACGCGTGGGCACTCATGAAGCTGTGGAGGAAGACTGGAGAGCGCGGACACCGAGACACTGCCTTCCTCGCTCGCTGCTTCCACAAGCTGCTCATCAACTTCACCTGGTAACGAGCGTTCACCTGCTAACGAGAGTAATACCTGGAAAAAAAAAAGTTGTGCGGGCTCCATACCCCACTCTCTATTGGCTCGCTTCGCTCCTTGTTCTTTAACTCACAACATTTGCTTCCTACAAAATTTACCTCTGGCTACGGCCCTGTGTGTGTGCGCGCGCGCGCGCGTTCGTGCGTGCGTGCGTGCGTGTGTGTGTGTGTTTGTGTGTGTGTGTGTGTGTGCGCGTGCGTGCACGTATGTGTGTGCGTGCGTGCGTGCGTGCGTGCGTGCGTGTGTCCGTGCGTGCGCGTGCGTGTGGGTGTGCGTGCATGTGTGTGTGTACAGTGTGACATCTCACAGCCTCTCTCCTCTGTGCTACTACCGCAGGGGCGTTTGACGACAATCGCTACTGGGACGTGACCGTGGAATACGCCAAGGCATCCCCCGACGACATACTCTGCAGGTAGGCGGGTAGCGCCACCTGTTGGCCCGAGCGGTAAACGTGTGTGACTCGCGTTCATGGCCGAACGTGCCTACCCTACCCGCAATTCGACTATCACATCTTAATTTTGTTGATCATCTTGAGTAGTCTTGCTATTTTCGAGTCGCTCGTCTCTCTTCGTGCATCTCGACGTTTTCCCGCGCCCGCACGTCGTCCCAGCATGCCTTGCTTCCGTCGCAGGTACACGGTCGCGAACAGGGGGCCGGCGGCGGCGACGCTGCACCTGCTGCCGACGCTGTGGTACCGCAACACGTGGGTGTGGGGCTGCACGCACGAGGGCTGCACGACCAAGGCCAACCTCATGGTCGACAAGCTGACGCCGAGCCGCGTCAATGGCCGCCACACCACGCTCGGTGAGGGACACTGCGCCTCCCCCCCCTCCCGCACCCCGCGCGCACGCGTTAAAGGGACGAGGCGCATTGGACGATGTGCGAAGCGTCGTGTCGGACGGCGAGCGAGCGCCTCGTCCCTTTAACGACGATAAAATGTAGCAAATATAAGCGGGTCACGTAAAAAATGCCAACCCTTGCCTAACGAACCCTCACCTAACGAACCTTCGTCTACCGAAGCATCGCCTAAAGAAGCTTAGCCTAACAAAGCCTCGTCTAATTTAACTTTGCCTAACAAAACTTCGCCTAAAGAAACTTGCCTAATGAAACTTCTAACAAAGCCTCGTCTAACGACCCCTCGCCTAACGAACCTTCCCCTAACAAGCCTTAGCCTAACGAAGCCCTGCCTAACGACTTGCCTCGTCCCTCATTAATGACCTCACTCTCTGGTCCGTCTGGCAGGCGAGTCGGTGTGGGAGTTGGGCGAGGGGCCAGACGGAAAGAACCCCCAGCTACTGTTCACTGAGAACGAGAGCAACAGCGTGCAGCTGTGGAACAAGGAGAACTACACGCCGTTCGTGAAGGACGCTTTCCACCGATACATCGTCGATGGCGAACTCACGGCCGTCAATCCGAAGATGAGAGGTTCCAAGGTGATGTTCGCTGGGGTTTTGTATAATAATAGTAATAATAATAATGATAATGATAATAAAGATATTATTATTATTATAGTATTGATTAAGAATCATAACCAGGTTC